TATTTTAAAAGGACGGAAATGACCTGGGTTTAGAGTATAATTAATTGTAATTATACATGAGATTAAAATAGGGTCGTGTCACATTCAACATGGTCTTCTACTTGCTAAGTCAATTAACTCGTTAACGTTTTTCTTTTTCATGTAACCAAAGAAAATAAAAACTCGAGACAAAGAAAGGTTTCAAGAGCTGACAATCGGGTCGTGTTCGTACATGAGCTTTTATATATATCTTTTTGTTTATGCATGTTATTAATTGTTTGAGCTTTCTCGTTATTTTGTTAAATGTGTGAAGTTTGAAAATAATATTTACTTATAATAAATAAATAATTAAAAGAAACTGTTACAAATTCAAATTAAATGAGAGTAAACTTGATATAAGTCTAATTTTGTAACCATCATTTGGTATAGTTCACTTAATTTTATAATTTTCTTTTTTTTAAATTGTTGATCAACCGTTTACTCTTATTTATAGGGTTATCTTTTATTCTTTTTTTTTTTTATTTTTTATTTCAAACTAAAGATTTTGCTAGATTAAATGTTAGATTAGCTACTAACGGGGTTTGAACCCACGCCGTCATGCAAATGCTCAACACATTTCCACCACTATAGTAAAGGGTCACTTGAATAGGATTATCTTTTACTTATATTTTATAATCACTTAATTTTTATAATTACTGTCTCAATTTTCCTTCTACCTCCATCACATGTTAATTGTATTAAAAAATTTATGATCTAGATTCTATATATACGAGCATATATACTAGTATGAATATAAATGTATGAAGATGAAATTTCTTAAACTATTTTCATGGATGATAGGTGGATTAAGTTTTATTTACTTTTTGTATATTCTATCTTCATCACAGGTTAAATGTACTTATCAACCTATGATGTATCATATATCACTGGCATATAAAAAAAATTCAACTATTTTCCATATATGTGGTTGGATCTTCATATTAAAATATTCAAATTAAAAGATTGAGTAAAGATTAATAAATCAAGAAATTTAAACAGACAAGACAAATTTAATTAAAGTAAAAAAGATAAAAAAAAAAAAAAAAAGAACTAAATTCAATCACCAACACAAGTTTTTTACCTAGATCTTTTTTCTTTTTCTTTTTTTTTTTTTTTTTTTTTTTAACGATAGATTTTGTCATATTGGATATTAGATATTAGATTAGTCACCGACAGAATTTCAACTCATTTCATCATGTAAGGGCTCAATGTGACAGCCCGTCCCGGAAATTTTAAAACGTACGCGTGAAAAGACAGTTTTGCCCCTAGTGCGTTTCCTTTAAGTTTTGTGGTTGTTTTGGGTTCCTTGTTGGCATGTTTTGGGCCACACACACACTAACCTACACCCCACACTCTTTCTCCCTATCCCTGCACCTCCCCCGTGCCTTTCCCTTTCCCATTTTTCATATCCTTTGTACGGACCACACCCAAAACCCATCAAACCTCCACAGATCGAAGAAACCAAGCACATATTCAGGCTCGTAGGAGTCCAACCATACCCATTTTAGGTAAGAATATCTTCGTTTTCACGTTGAACTCACGATGCCCGATTTTGGCATTGTTCATGCACACGTAATTTCTCACGTTTTTGGGAATTTCAAGCTTGTAGGAAGCTTGGTGAGGTCCTTAGGAGGCTCGGGGTGGTTCGTTTGACGGTTTTGGACGTCGGGATCATGAGTTTCGAGGTTGGCCGGAGTTGGGGTGATTTTCCAGGTGAGATTTCGTGGATTTTAGCTTTTGAAAGTGGTATGATTGTGTTCCTTTCGTTGTAAGCTTCATTTTGGTACCAATTTTGTGAAATTTGGTTGAAAAACGAGTGAGATACAAGGTTTTAAAGTTTTCCCGGTTTTCCGACGCCGTTGACGGAATCTGTTAGGAATAACGGAATATTCCTAACGGCATCAACTGACGCCGTCAGCGTGCCAGGCACGTGCTTGCGCGTGGCCGGCGCGTGGGGGCGCGTGCGGCGGTGAAAAATTATTTTAAAAATATGGGGATGTTCCTGAGGTTTAGTAGATCACGTTGGTGTATTCATACACCCCATTTGAGCTTTGTATGAGAAGTTATTTCTAAAGGTTGGTTATGTGTTTTAAAATTAACGTTTTTGTAGTTGTTTCGCATATAGGTGAATCCTATCCCGAGGACGAGCGTGGTCACTCGAGGCAGGGGGGTTACGACCCTTCCACATACCAGTGAGCGGGCTTTTGGTTTTCCGTATATACCTATATACTTATATTTTCTTAGAAATTGATTGAAACGTTTATTCGTTATATGCCATGCATTATATTACCGTTGTTTATGCATCGTTAGTTATATTCATATATATGTATGTATTGGTGCTGCGGACGCACAGGTAAGTGCCAGGTGAGTTGTGATTCATGTTTACATTCGGTAGTGATTTGAGATGCTTAGAGAGCTCATAACCTGCACCCTCGGTGTTAATGCTCCCGCCCAGAGTTGGGCACAGTCCTTCACGTGATGTTCACCTCCCGCACCAGACGCTCAGCTTGGATCCAAGTTAGGTGCACAGCCCTGTTGTACAGCCCACTTTAGGTGGTTCCGACTCGTAGGTGACCCGCGATTATTCGCACAGCCTTCACGTGATCGTAACACTTGAGCGTATATATATATATATATATATATTACACTCAGACCTGTCATACAGACCACTTTAGGTGGTTCCGACTCGTGTGCAGGTCTAGTTAGTGAGATTGAGATTTGAGCTCTAGATTCAGCCGTACAGGTCACATTAGGTGACTCCGGCTGCCAGATTATATGACAGTGATATGATTATACCTGAGCACTTGCATTTTATTTTGAGATTTTGGCACGGCATATTCTTGAGCATGATTGGTGTATATATATATATATACACACACACACACATACACGTATATCTATTTTCTGTGAAGTATACAGGTTTTACGGCAAGGGATTAGAACTTATTTGTTAAATGATTTTCGAAAAGCTTTGTTTTTGCCCACTCACGCTTTTGTTTTGCGCCCCTCCAGGTTCTAGTTGACTAGCAGGTTTGGTGGTTTCCCAGAGGACTTTCCCGGCATTTCTGACAGACGATCACCAGCGTAGGACCACCTTCTGGTGTACTGTTGTCGCCTTATTTTCTTTTGGACTGCTTTAGGCGTTATACTCTGAACTTAGCGTCGCACTTACCTTGCACCTATTATTACTTTATGGAAACCAATTTTTATTTATTCGTATTACTATTTCCATTATTATTTTATTAGCTTCCGCACTGTGCACATGGCTACGTCACTTCCACATGACGGCCAGCATGCCCTGATCTTGATTGGAATGTGTCACTCAACATCTTTTCACCGCTGTGATAAAATACCACTTGCATTTTATACCTAGATCAAAGTAATTCCCTTATACTACAAATGAATTATGAACTACAGTTTGGTTGGAAACTTGGAAGGGAACAAAGAACGAGGATCCTCTCCGGATCCTCTTTGTGAGGATTCTGGAGATCCTCAAATCGTGTCCATTTATCGTAAATCATGCTGCCAATTTTCAACATATACTATTTATGTTTAATTTTAAACAAAATAAATTAAAATAATTTCTGATCGCACGATATACGTTGAACGGACATGATTTGAGGATTCCCAAGATCCTCACAAAAAATATCCAGAGAACATCCTCATTTTGGAACAAAGCTTTAATTAATTTATGTATTTTATGGGTCGCATATAGAGAATAGAGTTGTACTTCAAAACGGCAAGTGGCCAGCATTGTATCTGAATGAACCTTCCTTCAAGCCCAAGTGTTGTCACGCTTAATTTAGGTCTATGAGTTCTTGGACACCCACACATGAGAGCCCACTCTTCTTCTTAGTTGCTAATAGGGTGCACTTGGATTAGGTTAACCCGAATCTCTTCAAGGTCAATTTGATTGTCATGATTGGATGAGTTAGAATGAAGTAAAAATCCGTTCAAATCCAACTGACCTTAATCAAATCATTTATTGGGTTCGGTTGGATTGTGTTGAGTTGATGCCTTTCTCGCACATATCAACCCAAACCCAATCTAATTTCTAGTTCGAATTCTCTCATACACATTACCCTACCTGCTTCATATTTTATGAGCTACATACAAGTGTTGGGGTGACTATAATTGAAGTTTTTGTTGGTTTTTATTTCAGTAATGAAAGATAATGTCACTTTAAATTTCTTTTTGTTGAAATTTTTGATGTTCTCTTATCATTTATGTTTCAACTTTCGCATAAAACATTAAAACGGATATCTACACTATTTGGTTTAACTTATGTGTGGATGATGTGTAGAATTGAATTTTAACTAGTATTAACATCGTTTGGTTCAAAATTTGAAAATTATTGCAAAAAAAAAAAAAAAAAAAAAGGTGTTACAATTTACAAATCAATAAAGTTGGCCAAATCCAAACCCAACTAAGTCCAAATCCCATTCAAACCCAAACCTAAATAGACCCGCATGAACCTAAACCCAACCCAAATCCAAAATGTCAATGTTACCCAATCCAAATTGTGAACGTTGAGTTTGAATCCTCTCTGGATCCCTTCCTCCTAATCCACCAAATTAGGGGATTCGTGCCGTTGAAATTTGATCCAACGGTTATAAACATGGGCCTACTTTAAAAGTTATAATAATTTTAGCCGTTTGATCAAATTTCAACAACACGGATCCCCTGATTTGATGGATTAGAAGGAAGGGATCCGGAGAGGATCCCTTTCCAACATTTTATATAAGTTTTTTGTTTTTCAACTTCCTGGCCTCTGCCTTTTGTGGAAAAAGGATATTGCTGAGTCGCAACATGAGTTTGTAATAATGTGGTTCAAATTTGTCTTTGATCGAAAATAAAATTTTACTTACAAGTAAAGAAAAATACAATTAGACCAATAGTACTAATTATCATAAAAAAATATTAAATAAATGTGAGAAGTGTGTGCCACGCGTACAGTTACAATCTGGAATCTCCTGGTACACAAAATCAGCTGTAGCGAATATAGCAAGTTCCAGCATCACTCTTCGCCACTCCTAATCCCCTCGATAAGCTTTTGATATTGCAATGTCGACCACCGCCAGAATCCATCCGACGGCCTCCGCTGTGCTCTCCTCCACCACCAAACACCACCTCCGGCCACCTCCCAACGCTGTCGTATTCAGAACCAATCCCAACTCCCTGCGGCGCCACGGCACAACAAGAACCCTCACGGTGGCAATGGCCGCCCCTCTCGACGTTTGTGCCAAGGCTTCCATTACTGTTCCCAACAAGCTCGGCGACTGTAAGTCTATTTGGTGTCCTAGAAATTGCAGGAGAATACCCAATTTTCAATTGGGTCACCAACCCATGTGGCGGATTTGTAGCATTGCTATGTTTCGGATCATCCATTGCGCCAAATTCATAGAAATTGATAGTTTTGTGTACATTTTGTAGAAAAGTATTCTTCTTATACATATTTTGGGGGAGAGAAAATTGAACGGAAAGGTTTGGGATTTCAATAACTATCGAAATTATGGACATAACATGAAAAGATGATATCTTTACATTGGAGTTTTACATTTTTACATACATAGAGAAAATTTCAACCGGCATTGTTGGAAATGTCCGATAACTATGTCGAATTTAAGTTGTCTTATAGTTTCGTTGTTACATAATGGTTTATAATTATTGAAGTGGGATATTGTTTAATGTGTTAGTGTTCGTAGCGGTACCATTTGAATCAGGGGAGCACATTATTAAGTGTTTGTTTGATAACTTGTCTTTCCTAGGTCCCTTCTGTCAAAGGGTGTTGCTGACACTAGAGGAAAAGCATCTCCCTTATGACCTGAAGTTGGTAGACTTGGGCAACAAGCCAGAATGGTGATTACCTTGAATTTATCTGGGATTGAATTTTATTTCTTTGGTGTTGATTCTTTTTCTATGGTTGAAAAATTGTAACTTGTGTATGCTCTAGCATACAACCGTAAAGTGCAAATATCTGCTGCTATTTGGTTTTATCTTTTTAGTTCAATGACTTTGTTTTATCATTTTGTTTCTATGTTTAGGTTCTTAAAAATTTACCCAGAAGGTAAAGTTCCTGTGGTAAAACTTGATGAGAAGTGGGTTGCGGATTCTGATATTATTACACAAGCACTGGAAGAAAAATACCCTGATCCACCTCTGGCAATGCCCCCTGAGAAGGCTTCAGTGTATGTTATATGTCCTGTACTATGCATTACTCTTTCGTTACTTTTCACTAGGACATATGTAATGGCTTGACGGCCAAAATATTGAAGCGTCAATGTTAGTCTTGTCGAGATTTTCATTTTACTTATGCTGAGTAGTGTTGCCATCCTGATTATAAACTATAAACTTCTTAAACTAAACCAAATTTGGTTTCCTGATATTGTGTGGCTGTTTTGAGAAATATATCATGTTAAGTTCACCTCCAGAATGTTCGCTAGTCAGAACCTTATTTATTCCACAGTTCTATTTTTGGCTTTGCTGTCTTGTCATAATATTATAATTGTTTAGGTTCATATTTGAAGTTTTTATCTTTGCAGTGGATCGAAGATCTTCTCTACTTTTATCGGTTTCCTTAAGAGCAAAGACGCCAAGGATGGAACAGAAGAAGCATTGCTAAATGAACTTAAGTCTTTCAATGATTATCTCAAAGAAAACGTGAGGCCTTCTACATTCCTTCCAGTTTTTGCTGTCATATTAATGAAGTTTTCATTCACATTTTGTGAATAACTGATGCCTTGAATTTATATCAGCTTGCTAATTTTGTTTTGCTTGTTCATGAAAGTTAATTTGTTTGCATATGAAATAATCAAATTAATAGCAGAAGCGTGTTTTTATACAACACAAAAATTAAAGTCTACACCCAACAAAAATACTCATAATAATTTACCCGGGATAGAACCTCTAGTGTGTGTATTACACTTACCTGGAGAACCTTTGATGTACTTCAGGATGTATGAATACATACATGTGACTTGTGAGGAAGTTGTGCAGTGGCAAAAAAAATTGATTCACAACATTAATTGCATGGGAGATAATTTGTCGACAGGTTAAGAGCCTATATAGGCTTTCTCTTAGAATTTTAACAACATAATTCCTCTAAGACAAGTGAATACCTTTCTCTTATCTTACAACTTTAATACCCGAAAACAAAACGGATCTTTCACAATTCTATAGTTAAAATGTTCATGCTGAGAAGATGAGTCAGAGTCAGGTGACTCCCGGTGATGAATGTCACCCCTGTAGACAACCAAATTCGCAATGCTATGTCTTTCTGAAGAGCATTAATGATCATCGTGCTTTCTACCCATGCCATGTTTTATCCTACTAAATCCATGTCGGATTAAACCATCAGTGGTTATACTCTTATTTATCAGAAAATAAAAACAGATTTAGGATGCTATCTTTCGGTGCAATAGCCCTTGATGTATGTGCTTTTTGTGAAGTTAAATATCTTCTAGTGCAGCCATGCTTAGAAAAACCAAATTGAATGGATATATCTTTGACATTTGTCTTCTATGTATTAAAGGGTCCTTTTATCAATGGGAAAGTGGTTTCTGCTGCTGATTTTTCACTTGGACCCAAGTTGTATCATCTAGAGATTGCTCTGGGGCATTTCAAAGATTGGTCAATTCCCGATTCTCTTCCATATGTGAAGTCTTACATGAAGGTATGTGAAATTGAAATGTGTGTCGCTAACAAGTTTACACTGCTAAGGAACAAGAGGTTTATCTTGATTATGAAATTGACATCACGACTCCTGGAACTTTGCTAACAACAACAACAACAACAAAGCCTTTTCCCACTAAGTGGGGTCGGCAACTTTGCTAATAAGATTAACTAATTACATCTAGATGCACTTTTTTCTGGAGTTGCATCATAAATTTTGAAATTGGACTTGCAAGAATGTCAAGGATCGTATGAACTTATACCATGTTAATGGAAGTTCTGTGACCATATTGTCAAAAAATTTGTAATCGTTTTGAGTTTAGCCCATGTAGTTCTTGCTTTTTACTTGTGCTTGTGTGAGGACTATAACTCATTTTGTGCTTAGTGAAGTATGTTTCTAACACTGCTGAATTTCTGACGTGCAGAGTATATTCTCACTGGATTCATTCGTTAAAACTAGTGCCCTGAAAGAAGATGTCATTGCGGGTTGGCGTCCAAAAGTCTTTGGTTAAAATGTCTTGCTGCTGTTATCTCTAGGTATCTATCTAAACTTTACCTGCACTGTACCTTAATAAAGTCAATGGTTTCTCTATTACTAACCTCTGTATTGGAGGCCACATTGTAAGAGGAGAGTATCAGTACACTGAGTTCATAGATTCAGGTGGGAAAAAGAAAAAACAAAGAAAAAAAAGGTCATGACGGGTGTAGAACAGGGATTGTTGCGTGTATTATAATTTAGGAACTCCTCACGTAAGTGTGTCTGTAGAATTACTAAGGGGATTGAAATGTTAATGCAGATATTGGAATATGTTGATGTTTGACATCGTTCTTCATTTATTTTTTATCTTTTGCTACAAAAGCTCAACGAAAGTAGTACGTCGAGGTTATAGCAAAGCTATTGATGTTGCATAGCTTCGAGTACAGAAGGTGAAAGTTGCTATAGTTACGTAAAATGCTCCTAAATGATAGATCTAGCAACAGTGTTCAACACAAGGCGGAATGTATCAACCCGACAGTGAACTTTTCATGCATTGATCATGTCAATTGTGCAGCATGGCAAAGGAACCCAGCTTGGTTGGGTTTTGGCTGCACCTAAACAATAAACAGTACAATGGAGCCGGCCAAGCAGCATCGAAATGAGCAAGCTTTTCGAAGTGACAATTTTTGGCACGACACAACAACACATTGAGAAAGCAATTAAGGTTGAGAATAATTTTGCATTTGTGCTTGCAACTTTGAATGGATTCATATCGCAGTACTTGATGTGGAAACGGGTTTTGGCACCAAGTTGAGAAAGCAAATAAGGTTAATGATTAATGAAAAGGGACATTGACATGTCGTCACATGTCGTCAACATATGTAAAAGTGCTTTTTGAAAAGGGGGAATTTTTTTTTTTTTAATGTTCCGCAGTATCTTGGTTCCCAGATGTTTTGACCGTAGGAGTTTTGTCCTCTCATATGTAAAAGTGCTTTTTGAAAAGGCAGTGTGCTTTATACTGCAACATTATATTTTAGAATTGTTTGTGGAATGGCTGGGTTTGATTTTTGATAAAAATATGTGTTTCAATTAAGCTTGGAAGAAAATTTTAAACACTTTTAACTTATAAAAGTGTGTTAGAAACAAGTCCAAGTGCTTAAAGTAATTCCACCCCCTTGCCTCGACAAGGGCTAGGAAGACTATCACAGTTACCATTTATCATTCACAATTAATCTTTGCCATTATCATGACAATTAATATGGAATTAGCTTAGATTTTTTTAGTGTGACGAGAACACGGTTTGGTATATCAAGTGTCATAATACAAGTGGTTGGATATTTAAAAAAAAAATTCTATCTACTTATATTACGACACTTAGTGAACTAGCCGTGTTATCAATACATTGAAAAATTTCTCCAATTGATGAGGAGGAGTTCTCATTAATTCACTCCATATCTGATTTACGAAACTTCATGTTTAGATCGAAACTACTATAAAGATGATCGCTACCAAAAAAAAAAAAATGAAGTATGAGATCGTTTAATTATTGAACTGTATAATATATATATATATATATATATATTGTCACATCCCAGCCCGAGACGGATCACTTCTCGGGCCCACTCCACCACCGTAGCACGATATTGTCTGCTTTGGGCTTACCATTCCCTCACGGTTTTGTTTTTGGGAACTCACGTGCAACTTCCCAGTGGGTCACCCATCATGGGATTGCTCTAGCCCCCTTCTCGCTTAACTTCGAAGTTCCTACGGAACCCAAAGCCAGTGAGCTCCCAAAAGGCCTCGTGCTAGGTAGGGATGAGAATATACATATAAGGATCACACATCTGGACGATGTGGGATGTCACAATTATCCACCCCTCTTAGGAGTCCGACGTCCTCGTTGGCACACCACGGCTAGGGTTAGGCTCTGATACCAAATTGTCACATCCCGGCCCGGGGCGGACCACTTCCCGGGCCCGCTCCACCACCGTAGCACGATATTGTCCGCTTTGGGCCCCAACCACGCCCTCACGGTTTTGTTTTTGGGAACTCACGAGCAACTTCCCAGTGGGTCACCCGTCATGGGATTGCTCTAGCCCCCTTCTCGCTTAACTTCGGAGTTCCTATGGAACCCAAAGCCAGTGAGCTCCCAAAAGGCCTCGTGCTAGGTAAGGATGGGAATATACATTTAAGGATCACTCCCCTGGGCGATGTGGGATGTCACAATCCAACCCCCTTAGGGGCCCGACGTCCTCGTCGGCACATTTCCGACCAGGGATTGGCTCTGATACCAATTTGTCATATCCCGGCCCGGGGCGGATCACTTCCCAAGCCTGCTCCACCACCGTAGCACGATATTGTCCGCTTTGGGCTTACCATTCCCTCACGGTTTTGTTTTTGGGAACTCACGAGCAACTTCCCAGTGGGTCACCCATCATGGGATTGCTTTAGCTCCCTTCTCGCTTAACTTCGGAGTTCCTACGGAACCCGAAGCCAGTGAGCTCCCAAAAGGCCTCGTGCTAGGTAGGGATGAGAATATACATATAAGGATCACACATCTGGACGATGTGGGATGTCACAATTATCCACCCCTCTTAGGAGTCTGACGTCCTCGTTGGCACACCACGGCCAGGGTTAGGCTCTGATACCAAATTGTCACATCCCGGCCCGGGGCGGACCACTTCCCTGGCCCGCTCCACCACCGTAGCACGATATTGTCCGCTTTGGGCCCCAACCACGCCCTCACGGTTTTGTTTTTGGGAACTCACGAGCAACTTCCCAGTGGGTCACCCATCATGGGATTGCTCTAGCCCCCTTCTCGCTTAACTTCGGAGTTCCTATGGAACCCGAAACCAGTGAGCTCCCAAAAGGCCTCGTGCTAGGTAAGGATGAGAATATACATTTAAGGATCACTCCCCTGGGCGATGTGGGATGTCACATATATATACAAATTCAATAAAAGCATTAAGAAGTGTCTAACTATTTGCTACAATTGATTGACTAAACAATTTTTTTAATTAATTTTTTTGTAGAGATGATTTTTAATTATAATATTAATGATTTGATTATAAATTTATAGATTGTCAATTAACACTCTGTTTGGATAAAGAAATTTAAGATTACTAAGAAATTTTAAAATGATGGAATTTTATTTTATAGAATTAGTGAATTTTCTTATTTGGTTAAACCTAAAAGAACGATACAATTTGAATACGAAAGTTCTATTTTTAAACTCTCATTTATAGAAATTGGAAATAGCACTTGCTTACATGGAATTTAAACGTGGGAATTGGAGGTCTCAAATTCTAAGTTATTTTTTCTACGTTGGCATTCTAAATTTCTGTTTTATGAATCTCAATAGGAAAATTGGTGCATGTCAATTTATAAACTCTGATTTCTAACATCAGCTCATTCACCTCTACGTGGAGCTGCTCTAGAAATAAGGTTGTGTGAGGTTTTTTTTCTTCAAAGTGAACCTATCATACGCCACTTGGTATAATGGTCTAATGGTATTCTTATTCCACTTATAAATAAGAGCTCTTAGGTTTGATTCTTGCCAAAGGCGAATTTAAACCATATTATTATGTTTAACCGAATGTGAGGTTTAGCCCACTCCCTCACCCATAGGGGTGGGTTTGGTATGGTTACCGTACCAAAACCCCGATATCAATTATTATACCAAACTTTTGATTTGGCAAAATCTATTATCATTACAATACCAAAAATTTTGGCCTATCGGATTTCGGTATGCCAAATAATTCAGTTAGCATGGTATGATAATGGTAATTGACACTTTGTTTTGGGTCACCTTTTTGGCCAAAATCTGATTTTTTTTTTTTTTCTCTTTTCAACCCAATTCAAGGACAAAACTTTTTTTTTTTCTACCTTTATCTCATATATGTAGCCTAAATTCATCATTCACATCCACACACATACTAAAATCAAATGATGCATCAAGATTCATATGGAAATTAAGGTTACAATCCAAATAGAAATTACAAACCAAATAAAATAAAAGTTTACAATCAATAGAAGTTAAAGTTTCAATGAGGATCCTCTCCGGATCCTCTTTGTAAGGATCCTTATATCGTGTTCGTTCATCGTATATCATACGGTCAATTTTCCTCAGGTACTATTTGTGTTTAATTTTAAATAAAAACATTTAAAATAAAGAAAAACTAATGAAAAGTCCAATAAAACTTTAATTTTAATGAAAAATGACAAATAAATGTGTAGTAAATAGTACCAAGGAAAAATAAAAATGTGGTTTTTCATTAAAAGCGAACAGTACTTGAAGTATTTCGTTAAAACTCTCTTAAAATAATAGTTTCGAATATCAATACCATACCATAGAATTTCGGTTTAGTATAATACCTTGCTATTATCGATTGGCACAAAAAATTTGACCAAATCGGTATGATATGGTTGACATGGTAATTTGACAAAAAATCGACCCGTACTTACCCCTAGATAATACCATTTGTTCAAAAAAAAAAAAAAAAAAAAAAAAAAAACCCATCATAAAACGGCGTCGTTGAGCATAGGTCTGAAACCCAAAATCAAAAGGAAAGAAAAAGGCAATTTTACCCTATTTCTTTCCTCTGCTCTCTGATTTCAGCGGCAGCCCAAGATTCCTACCACCATTCGGCGGCAGACCCCCCCTTTGGACAAGATTTCGTCGGAAGCCGACCAATTCGAAAGAGATTTCCTCGTTCCCCACTGCTTATTTTCTTCAGGTTTTCTCCTCTTTTTTCAAATTTCTTCAGTTTTTATTTTAATTTTATTTCGTTTTTCTTCAAATTTTCCGGCGACCCGCTGGATTAGCTTTGAATTCTGAGGTCTCTGTTTGATTCCTGGAACTGTAAATATTTTATCTTTTAAATACACACACATATATATAATAAGGGTTTAGGGTTTTGGGTACCTGAACTTCAGTTGGGAAGAAATTTGACGTATGGAACTGTAAATTTTTTTTTAAATACATATATATATATCATATTTAGGGTTTAGGGTACTTGTACTTCAGTTGTTATGAAATGTGATTTATGGAACTGTAAAAGTTTTAATTTTGAAGTGTAATTGCATATGCATATTTGCTTTAAGACTGAAAAGATTATTATTGGTAATCTGGGCAGCATTAGGGTAGAATTATGAGAGTGAAAAGGCAGAAGCGTCACCGGAAGAGTGTGAGGTTCTACACAGCATGCTACGGCTTCAGACAGCCCTACAAGGTGCTGTGCGATGTTACTTTCGTGCATCACCTCGTCACCAATCGCATTACCCCCGCTGACAAGGCCATCTCTAATGTCCTCGGTGCCCCTGTCCTGCTCTTCACCACCAAATGCGCTATCGCCGAGTTGAAACAACATGGTCCAATGCTTGGTCCTTCGTATTCACAGTCTCTTGAAGCTGCTAATAGCCTTATTACTGCAAGGTGTGATCACGAGAGTCACGTGAGTGCTGAAGATTGTATATTGGATGTTGTTGGGCAAAGTAATTCGGAGCACTTCTTTGTTGCTACTCAGCACGTTGATCTTCGTCGGAAACTTCTCAAGGTCATTGTCTCACTTTATTTCTTATTATTATCTTGTTGGCCTCCTCGAATCTGTTATACAAATTCTTTTGATGTATATCCTTGAGCATGCACCGACGGAGACATCTTTTCACTTGCAGATACCAGGTGTCCCTGCTATTTATGCTCTGAGGACTGCTCTTTTGCTTGAGTCCCCTTCTGATGCTCAACACCAATTTGTCAAAGCTTCTGAAGAACAACGCTTGCATATGACTGACTTGGAATATAAGATGTTGAAGAAGAAAAAGAATATTCCGAATTCTCTTAAAATAAACGATCCTCCTGGTGAAGAAGATGGTTCTGGAGATCAGAACATTGAAGCGCGGGCTGTAGCAAAGAGGGATACTGCTAGGATAGGATTGGGCGTGAAGGATAAAGTTCAATTTAAGAGAAAGAGGGCAAAGGTACTACCAAACTCATTTCTTTCATGTTCATGTATTTTTCTTTATGTATTTTTCTTTCTCAACATGTCTGCTTATATTAGTTTTATGTGAGGCATTTACTTCACCCCATCAACTTTTTCGATATGGACTCCACGTAATATGAAGTAACATGTTGGAAGGTGGACATCTGTTGTGTTTATTTGGATTATGAAAACTCTTGTCAGTATTAAATATTTATACCATACACTATATACGGATAGGCCTGCGTATGCTGCATCATGTATGCTGCATCATGGATTAACATTAATATGATTGATTTGAATTACACCGTATTTTATTGCACAGTATCTTTTCCAACTCTGTTCCCCCTCTTTTTTCTTACCAAGATACTCATATCAAGATATCATATTATGGAAATAATGTATATTTTCACTAGGAAGATGCTTCCCCGGATCTACATGAAAATTCAATGAAATCTTGTTCGTGCACCTGATACTCAAACAAAGAAACAATGCTTATACATTTATTGCATGGGGGGCGGGGGACTAGACCCGAATGAATTCTTAAAAAGGCAAGAAGTGTCAAAGAACTAAGATAAAATAAGGAGAACTAGTTAACCGTACATCCTGTAGTTTCCTTAGTCAGTGATTAGTAATGCGTATGTTGTTCCGCATTCAGATTTATTTGATGGCTATTTTGTGATGGACATTTTTGAAATCAAAATCTTGTTTGAGCTGGATGTTTCTGGGAGTATGGATAGATTAAATCATTGTTTCTCTTTTTCCAAATTTTTGGTAAAATTAAGTAGAAATAATTGGACTAATACAAATTATTACGTCATGGTGGCATGCAAATACTGTTAGAAATGGTTACCTTAAGATGACTGTTTCAATGTTTATGTATTGACTCCTTTTCTTCCACCTTACAGGGTCCAAACCCCCTTTCATGTAAAAAGAAAAAGACGAAAAAGCCAGATCTTCATTCTGCACAGGTGAGCTTGAAAATATTGTTTATACCACTCCCCCTCCACTGTACTACCGGCTAGTCACAATAGTTGACGGCAATAATTCAATGTCTTACCATCCTTTAAAAAATGCACGCCCTTGTGTACCTTTTGAGATTCTGAAGTTTCGTGCAGGAAGGGAAGGATGCAGATGCTACTTTGAGGAGTCGTAAGAAACGGAGTAGGTCACGGAAAGGCAAAAAGACTCTGGAGGCAGATGGTTAATGTTCCTTGGCTAAAAGGTAATGTAATTTAGCTTTCATTGGAACGAGATGAATGAGCAAACTGTACTTTGGTCAATTTTGGGGCAAGTGTTATTTGAGGGAAAGGTTATGTAATTCTGTCGACATCATAATTAGCTAATCATATTTATAGCCCTCACACTAAGTTCATATAGAGTTTGTCTTCTTTTCGACTCTGTCGGTGTTAAATATTTATTGCCAGAACCCGTGCTCACCGCGCTTTGAGACACCCGAAAATGCTGTATTTTCCGGGGAAAAAAGAGGGCTATAAGTGGGCCGTCTGCTATTGCTATAAGGGCTGCTCGCCTTTATATGGCAAGCCTTGTGTCCTCGAGTCGGTTTTCTCCTGTGCACTATATTCCAAGAGAACTACCGATGAACTACTCAAACACTGCAAAGCTACACTAGAACAATATAAAGTCACAAGAGCTCTCGAAATTACTAATTTATATCTGAAAGTTAACCTTTGAGAGTCAAGATCCTCTCCGAATCACTGTGTTTGGAGCCCAAGGATTTGGAGTTTTGGCTGTTGAATAGAGAGAACGAAATAACCGGACTCTTGGTTTGTGTGAGACGGGCAAGTGAAATGAACTAATGAAGACTGTATGATTCAAAATGAATGACACAGATCTTTGAGTCTATCGATTATGGGTAAAAAGATTTGGAGAGGATCTCAATTCTACCTTTGAAATTCAAAAGAATAATTAACAAGTAAACAAAAAACAGTCTTCATTTATTAAATAAAAAAAATCAAAGGACAATAAGAATTGTTCCTCTATGTCTGTCTATTGGCAATATAATTGGCTAAATAATACAATGGAGCCGCCCTAGCAGCATCGAAATGAGCAAGCTCTTGCACTGCTTGCGCCACCAACTCAGCAGCAAAATTCTTTGCCCCTTCAATCCCCATCAGCTTTGGATATGTCGCCTTATCGCTTGCCAAATCTTTCCCCGCTGTCTTCCCCAATTCCTCTGATGATTTCGTCACGTCCAAAACGTCGTCCACCACTTGAAACAACAACCCTATACACCTTGCATACTTCCTCATCCTCTCCACCTCCCCTTCACCTGCTCCTCCGATGATTGCCCCGCAAACCACCGATGCCTCGAGGAGCTTCGCGGTCTTATGCACGTGAATGTACTCGAGTTCTCGCAGCGTCACTTCTTTGCCTTCGCTTTGAATGTCCACCATTTGACCCGCCACGAGGCCTAATGATCCGACGGCCGAACCAAGCTCAGTGATGGCTCGAACCACACGCTCCGGCGATACTACTTTTGTTGTCTTGGCCGCTATATGTTCAAAAGCAAGGGAAAGAAGCGCATCACCGGCTAGAACTGCGGTTTCCTCCCCAAAAGCCTTGTGGTTGGTAGGCTTCCCGCGACGAAGATCGTCGTTGTCCATGCAAGGGAGATCATCGTGAATAAGCGACATGGTGTGGATCATTTCAACGGCACAAGCTGCTGGGATTGCAAGTGACTCATCCCCTCCAACTAATTCACATGAAGCGAGACACAAAACCGGCCGCACGCGCTTTCCGCCAGCCAAAAGCGAGTACCTCATTGCCCTATGGATTTTCTTGGGGTACTGCACGGGTACGGCCTCGTTCAACGCCTTGTCCACCATCTTTGCCTTCGTTGACATGTACTCATCGAATTTGAACACCGGAAACTGCGTGGTTTTGAGTGGTGTGGCGATTGGTTCTCCATTGACGAGCAATGGTTGGAATGCAGATGATGAGTCAGTAACTTGTGTAGTTGTGGCCTTTATCTTCATGCGAATGAGAGGAGTTGATGAGGTTCTAGTGCTGCCATTCGGAATTTCGTTGAGACGACCAAAATTAGCAGCGGTTTTGAGAAGGGATGGAGTTTCATAGCCTAGGATGGTTGCAAAAGAAGCCATAAATTCCTTGCTTGTTGGTATCAAATTTTTGGGTGAATGCATGATGAACTTGTTAATTTGGAGTTATAAACTTGTAGTCGGAGAGGCGAAGGAATAAAAAGATGCTGTTTACTATGTGAATTTGTATAGATTCATGTTATTCCTTTTGATGTAACTTTGTCTTCTATTGTATCATTTGGCCTCTAATCTTTTTTCTTTTTTAATGTTTTGGATATTTTTGGCTCTTCTCTCAGAGCATCTTCAGTGATGTTCCTCTAATTGTCCCTGCCATTGTATAAACCCTATATATAGGGTCAAGCATCTTCCAATGGGTCGGAATTAGAGTTCCTACAGTATAGAGATTTGCCGAAGTACTAAAAAGAATCCTCAAATATAAGGACGTTGTAGGTACTCTCAATGGGGTGGGCCCGTATTCTTTTTTGAGTTGGGTGATGTTCCTCTTAATCTTCTTAGAGCAACTCCAACCCTCTCTAAGAGGCTGGCCCAAAGCCTAAAAGACATAGGCTGACACCCAAAAAAACCTCTTCACCTCTAAAAATAGGCCAACCCAAAGTTCAAGCCAGTTTGTAGGTCGGCCCAAAATGGGCTAAGACAGAAACAGCCCTATATGGCGTCATGCTGACACTAGCATGACGTCAGCGGACCACACAAATTTTTTTGCATCAGGCATGTGGGAAACACGCGTGCATTCCTGACACGACGGGCTTGTGTTGCAGGCACACTAAAAGGTGCGGGACATGGGCCACGTGGCTAAGTCTCGGCCGTTGGATTTCCAATGGTAAAAAAAATTTGAAATTCAAACCCAATGGCTAGTGACATGACACAATCTAGACCGTTCAATTTTCAGATCAACGATCCAGATTTTTCACCCTAAAACTTAAAAAAAAAAAAAATAATAAAATAATAATAATAATAATAATAATAATAAAATGTCATAAATTAATAATATTTTTTTATAAATTAAAAATAATTTTTAATATTATTTTATAATAAAAAATTAATAATATTTTAATAAAATGGACTAGGCTATTTAGTTTTGGAGGTGAAGATGCATTTGGTCAATTACTATTCATTTAGGTGGATTGAATGGACTTTGGGCCAACTCATTTTTTAGAGGTGGAGTTGCGCTTAGGATTTGATACATTGCCTTATCCCCAATATATACTAATTTGATTTGAATTAAGTGTTTCTCATTTGAGATGAGTAATATCTTTAAATTTTTAATACAAACTATTTGTCTACTGTAAACTACTCTAATAGGATGGAGAAAGGTTTGAACCTAAGACGTAATTGATTAAAGTGAAAGGCTCTAATGATTAGGGCAATTCATCACTAGCAACCACGATAACCAAAGCTAGAAAGCAAAATCAAATTAGCTTCGTCTTTTTCATACAATTATACATTTACACTAAAATAATGAAAAAATAAATTAATTATAAACTCCGTATTTTCGAAATTTCCTTACAATTGAACACGAATGGTAACTAGCTGTCATTTTAATGAAAAAAAATCACATGGACCAAATCCGAAATGAGATCCCTTCGTAATCCACTGCGTCTGCTGTTTCTCTGCCACTAAAACTAAAACCCTCCTTCTTCTTCGTAGCTAAAGTCCTACCAGGGTTTATGCTTATCGTCATTCCCTCACTGGAATATACGACACCAAACACACAGCGTTTCTGTCGAGAACGATGATTCTCCAAACGCCATTCCCCGGCCCCTCTCTCTGCTCGTCGTTCTCTGCTCACCGGCTCCGTCCTCTTCTCTTCTCCAAACGACGTCGTGGCCGCACAAGCCTCTCCTACTGGCATTTCAATCCTCTTAAGCCTAGGCACTTCTCAGGTAATGTTATCACCTTATCACTTTCTCTTGTCATTCTTTGTTTGGTTGCTGAGAAAATTCGGATGTTATCATTTGGAAAGTACTGAGAATTGAATTTAATCGATCAAGAAATTGAATTTTAAACACTTTAATTCCTACTGTTTTGTTCATTGAAGTTCGTTTTATAAGATTTTTCGTAAGTTCGGTTATTATTTTGACTTCCCATCATATGAAACCATGGCGAAAACATTTGTGATGAATTGGGGTGGTGCATTTATCATTTCTTTTTATTTCAGTTGCTGCTTCCGAGAATCGTGGCTTTACGTCTCCAGAGATTGCAAAGACCTTTGATTTTACTTCAGAAGAACGAATATACAATTGGTATATTGGTTTTTATACGTTTTTCATTTGCATTCTTTGTATGATCACCAAGAATTGGAGTAACCATGACAGATATAGCTTTAGTATGGGTGCTTTGTGCTTTGGTGTTATGCATATCCTCCGCGATTTTCTTTTGTTACAATTCACTGTCGATTTCTTTTTTTCTTAAGTTGCATTGGGGAAGCTTCTGTATCTGAAGGCAGCTGTTGAATTTATTGGGGCTTATGTTGTCTGATATAATGCTATAATTCTGCTGTTAGTTCTGAATGTAGAGGCTTTGTAGTATATTCAGTGCACTGCTCTGCTTCTGTGATGTTGTATTGCCTCATTGTTCATATTAATGAACTTATTTTGAAAAAGTTTATAGACCCCCCATCCGAACCCACACCCGAGAATTTGATATTTCGAAATATCCCCTTTATCCAAAAGAATTATTAACTAAAATACTATAATGATGTACTTTTTATTTTGTATATTCCCCATTCATGTGCAAAATGATTGGAAATTTTGGAACTGAATTTTTTGTCAGGGTCAGAGATGAGTTTTCACATTCTTTGAAATGGAGTTGAACAAAATATTATATCTATTCAGTCATTGAAAGGTAGTTTACACAATTCGGGATGACAGCACATATTTTTTATTTTTTTTTGGGAATATGTTTGGGTTGGAGTTCACATTTAACATCTTTCTCAAAATGATTCAGTTACCAATCATTCTCCAGGTGATACTAGTGCAATGCACCTGACATCATTTCTCAATTCTTCCCATATTGAAGCACCCTTAAACCAAGGCTTAAAAAAATAAGTATCCCCTTAAAAACACGGTCTCTTGTCTGGAATTTTACCTGGTAGTTTTCAAGGTTTCTAGTTGATGCTTCAAAGTGCATTATGCAGGGCTGGTCCTGCCTGATACTTGTGGGGCCTTGTATAGAAAATAAATTGGATACCTTGTATTATGCCAAAAAATACTGTGAATGTTCAAAGTATTGGTTCATTTTTGTTATGTTTCCTTAGTAATAATTGATCTATACCATTGCTCTACATTAGAATTA